GAGTAGATTTTTTTTAAAAAAAAAAGACTGTAAGAGCTTTCTTCTTCCATAGACAAGTGATCACATTAGAAGAAAAGATGTCGAGACTTTGGAAAAAGTGCAAAAAAGAGCAACTAAGATGATTAAGGGATCGGAGATAAAAACATATGAAGAAAGGATGCAAGAATTGGATATGGCCAGTCTATAGAAAAGAAGGACTTAGGGGTGACTTGATTGCAGTATTCCAGTGTTTGAGGGGCTGCCATAAAGAAGAGGGGGGGTCAAGCTAGTCTCCAAACCACCAGAGGGCAGGACAAGAAACAATGGATGGAAACTAATTAAAGAGAGAAGCCACCTGGAATTAAGGAGAGACTTCCTAATAGTGAGGGCAATTAACCAACGGAACAGAAGTTGCCTTCAGAAGTTGTGGGCGCTCCATCACTGGAGGTTTTTAAGAAGAGACTGGACAGCCACTTGCATGCAATGGTATAGGGTCTTCTGCTTGGGCAGGGGGTTGGATTAGAAGACTTCCGTAGTCCCTTCCTTCTCTATTCTGATGGGTTGAAGATCTATTTTAGCATCCCTGAAGAAACTCAGCAGGTAGGTGCAGCGGCAATGAGAAAGGCCACTATTATTTTGAGAAGTTTAGTGACCTATTTTGATTTCACCTTCCCATTAAGAAAAGCCTAGATGTTTAGAGCTTATTCTGAGTTAACCTGCTTGTTTTTCACATTTGTCTGTGGAACAAAGGAGAAGATAATGTTCACATAGCTTCAAAGCTATGAAATCCTTAGAAGTTTTTTGAGTGCCATCCCAGAGTCAAGAGCCATCCAGTTGAAGTCAGGTCTCAAAGTCTCCTGACCATTAGCAGGGCCATGGAGTCATGGTGCCAAGTTTGGATGAAAACCTTTGAGGACTGTGTTGCTTGTGGGGAGTTTTTTGCATGGAACATAGCATCAGGTATTGTGGAAACTGGCAGCCCTTGGGGTATCTCTGCTGTCATTATGAAGTAGCTCATGGTGGCTTGTTAAGAGATGTATTATTTTATTGGGTATGTATGCTTCTTAATGTTATGCTTTTAAGCTAACCATAAGGTTAAATAAATCCCTTTCTCTACTGGTGCACTAATTTGTCTCTGGATCCAAAAGAACTGATTGTCTGGGTATCTGATCATTGCCTTGACACTTGCAAAACAGCAGGTGGCAATCCAGATGTTCAAGGGAGTATTTTTGTGTCTCATATTTTCCAGTGCAACAAGAACTGTACAAACTCTGCCCTCCTCCAGGTTAAACATTAAAGAAATCTACAGAAAATGGTAATGAGATATGCGTGTGTGTGTGTATGTATGTATATATGTATGTATATATGTGTGTGTGTGTATAACACACACATACATACATGTATGTATGTATGTATGTATGTATGTATGTATGTATGTATATGTGTGGTAAGTACCCGCGAAAACTTAAGAAAACAAATACATATATACATATACATATACATATACATATACATATACATATACATATACATATACATGTCTAGATGTGTTCGGGTCTTTTCCCGTGTAAGATTAAGAGTATCTTGGCGACGTTTCAGTGAGGTCCCACTCACCATCCTCAGGCTGGTGCTTTCAGTTTCGTGCCAGTGCAAGTATTGTGTTCAGACTTTTACAGTGGTTTCAGATTTAAATTTGGGGCTAGCCTATTGCTGTGCCAGAATGGTTTTTTCTTCACCCTGATTGGTTGGGAGTCTTGGTCTGTGTTTATTGGTCTTGGAGTTTTCTGTGTTCTGCTTGATTGGTGTTTCTAATATCTTCTGTCTGTTTTGTGGCTCTTTTTGTGTCTTGATTGGCTGGCAACATTGTGTTCCTTTATTGGAGGCCTTTAGTGCAGCTTGGCCGTTGGCTGTCAGTACTTTAGTCAGGGTGCATAGTTCAGTCTTTTTACAGACAGTCTTTTTTTTCAGTCTTTTACTGACAGCCAACGGCTTCCACAAAAGCAAAATCACCGGCTTGATCCACAAAAACACATTGAGACATAATGGAGACCTAGAAGATGAACAGACCAATGGAACAGCTGTCCTGCCCTACATAAGAGGTACTACAGACAAAATCAGTAAGATACTACACAGGCATCACATCAAGATTGCCTTCAAAACAGACAGAAAAATAGCAGCCATCCTTAGAAAAGATAAAATTGACCTGGAAAACCAAGGCATATACGAAGTCCCCTGTGCATCATGCCCGGCCACATACATTGGACAGACCAATAGAAGAATAAGTACCTGCCTGGATGAACACAAACATGCAGTAAAAAAGCTGGAACACACTTCCTCACTAGTCCAATACATGAAAGCCACAGGTCATAGCATCAACTTCAATGGCACCAAAACCCTAACCACTATAGAAAACCCCAGCCACAGAATCATCAGAGAAGCCATAGAGATTGAAAAAAGACCTGGAAGCATGAATAGAAGAGATGATTCCACCAGACTGTCAATCATTTGGAAGCCTGCACTCACAAACAAAAAAATCTCCATGCCACAAGCCAGGCAAACACCTGGGCACAGACAGATCCCCCCTGATACCTCCAGCCCAAACACACCCCAACCAAGCACCCAGATGAAACCTAGCTTCCTAATATATGATAGCCATCCATTTACTCAGAGCCAAGTTGCACTAAAGGCCAGGCAATCAAGACACAAAAAGAGCCACAAGACAGAAGATATTAGAAACACCAATCAGCAGAACACAGCAAACTCCAAGACCAATAAACACAGAGCAAGACTCCCAACCAATCAGGATGAAGAAAAAACCATTCTGGCACAGCAATAGGCTCGCCCCAGATTTAAATCTGAAACCACTGTAAAAGTCTGACTCACAGACAAACACAATACAGAAGCCTGATGATGGCAGATGAGATTCTGCCGATACGTTGCTACAACTTTAAAAGCACAACTACAATGACAGGGGGAAATACCCGAACAAAGCTGAATACCATACATGTAAGTACCCGTGAAAACTTAAGAAAATATATCTATATCTATCTCTATCTCTATTTATATCTATATCTATATGTTTATATATGCTTATATATGTTTATATATGTTTATATAATATATATATATTATATTTATATAAAATATATAAAAAACCACTATCCCAACACACAGCTTTGGTTTATAAAATACCAGCTTTCACATTTCACACTGAATTGATTCACAGCTATGCAAACTGAAGAGGAAGTGAGTTTACAACACTCTCTGGAACAGAACAGTCATTCCCTTATAAAATTGAGGATACATTAAAAATAATAATTTTACTTGATGCATTATTGGAAAACAGCAAGCTTCCCTTTCTCCCAAAGTAGGGATCTCTCTCTCACACACACACCTCTCTCTCTCACACCCCTCTCTCTTTCTCTCTCTCTGTGTACAATAACCTGCTACCATCAGTAACTGCAGTTCAAACTTCTGCAGGCACCCACAACGCTTTCCATAAAAAAAATATTTGCCTTCTTAATTACTTCTAAGATTATTTGCCTGGATTATTTTCTAATACTGGAAGCAATAGCACTTAGACTTATATACCGCTTTACAGTACTTTTATAGTCCTAAGTAGTTTACAGAATAAGCATATTGCCCCAAACAATTTTGGGTCGTCATTTTACCCACCTCGGAAGGATGGAAAGCTGAGTCAACCTTGAGCCTGATGAGACTTGATCTGCCAAATTACAGGCAGCCGGCAATCATCAGAAGTAGCCTGCAGTACTGCACTCTAACCACTGTGCCACCAAGGCTCATAGGAACCAGTTGCCAAGCATCTGAATTTTGATCATGTGACTATACTGCACCCAGTTTTGGTTGCCACGATGTAAAAAAGATGTTGAGACTCTAAGAAAGAGTGCAGATCTTTCTTAATTTGCTGTAACAGTTTATCATAATTATTCTCTTTGAGCGATTTACTATGTGGTGTTAACCATATGCCTAAATATTTGACCTTTTTTGTTGCCTGTATCCCCATGGTTTTTTCTAATTCTTTCCTCTGATTCTCTGTTAGATTTTTAGTCAGTAATTTTGTCTTATTTCTGTTAATCTTTAATCCTGCTACTGAACCAAATTGTTCTAGTTCTTTTATTAGGTTATGTCCTTTTTCCATGGGTTCCTCTAGGAAAAAAACCATATCGTCTGCAAACGCCTGTAGTTTATATTCCTCTGCTTTGACCCTAACTCCTTGGATTTCAAAGTTTTGTCTTATCCGCGTTAACAGTGATTCTAAAGCAAATATAAATAAGAGGGGTGAGAGAGGGCAACCCTGTCTAACGCCCTTTTCAATGCTTAATGGGCCTGTTTGTTCGCCATTAATTAGTATATTGGCTTGTTGGGTATTGTAAATTGTTGTGATAATGTTCTCGAATTTAGTGCCCAGACTCATGTTATAGATTTTTTGTATTAAAAAGTGCCAATGTAAGTTATCAAATGCTTTCTCCGCATCTAAAAACATGAGTGCAAATTGTTTCTCTGGATGAGCTTCATAATATTCCCCCACCCAACCGATGTGACAAGCAACTGTTGCCATTTCTGCAATGATAATTTACATGACAGGTCTGTACAATAAATTAAAACTGCGTTTCATCGCGAAACTCCTGTGGATCTTCCCCGATTCTACCAGTTACCTACAAACAAAAACGATGAGATGAAGCAGCATAATTCTAGCAGCATTATTTCGTAATCCACAAATAACGTATAAATCCCGTTGACTTTTTCGTGGTTGGATCCCCCCAGCAGAAAGAGTCAAGAATGAGATTCTAGTGGGTTTTTAGTCAGGTTGATTGATCGTGAAGGCAGAAATTGTATCATTTAGTGTCAGGTTTTGTAAATCTGTATTTTCAAACAAAAAAAAATATTTTCCAGCTTATTTCACTGGAAGTGTTGAAAAAAAACCCACCTGTGTAGAGGAAAAAAAATATTGAACAATATTATTTTCTCCCTGAAATCCTTTTTTTGCTAAAGAACAGTTTGAAAGAACTGAAGAAGCTTCTGGGATGAGAAGCGAAATGTCTTCAAGGAAGAACAAAGTCCAGTTGCTTTCTGAAAAAGCACCTGTGGAACAACCACGATCTGGAGGACTAAGAATCTCCACAGACCAACATTGTTTTGGGAAATAAATGGAGATATTGATAGCGGCAGGTATCAGTACAAAATTATTAAGGTTCCCAAATTGAATAGAGAGCACTAGATAGATCTCTTCAACATTTACACTTAAATACACCGAAAGTCTGTACACTGTACATTAAAATAATCCATTTCTTTGATGCCCATATCTGAAGGGCTTCTAAGTCTCATCATGGAGAGCTCTGGTCCTCAGTAAGACCATGTGGAGCTCATGAAGAACATTTGCTGGCAGCTGCTTCTCAGGTTCCAACTGTGTTTCTCTAGCTTTGCTCTCATTTCTTTTGGGGGATTTTGATTCCTTGCAGGATCTGTGGTCCAAGTTCACCACACCTTCAGCCATGTCCTCCAGACAGATCAGGCTGCGATGCTTTCTTCCTTGATTCCAGAATTTTTCCTCCTTTCGTTCTTTATGTTGAACAACTCGCGATACTCGTTCCTTTAAACTGGTCTTTTCTTCAGCTAAGTCCCGTTCTGTTTCCAGTTTCGAATTCTGTGCAGAGATGGAGAAAGAATTAAAGATGGAATCATTCATATCGATTGTTTGAGGCCTACCTCTGGGGACTTAAGTCCTTCCAACTTGCTCTCCAAGGGTTTCCGTTCTTGCATGATTAAGATAGATAGGAGATAGATAGATAGATAGATAGATAGATAGATAGATAGATAGATAGA